CTTACCATACTATACATAATAAATTATATATATATACATATATCAATGAATAAAATATACTCTTCTGTAACGTTACTATAAAGAGCGGTTGACTCTTTAATATTCATAATACACAACTGTTATTTTATATGGCAAAAATAACAATTAAATATCGCTAAAATTATAATTAAATAACAATATAACACGAATTACAATATCGAACAATAATAGCATTCGTCGTAAGAGAAAAGAAACAAGTATCGAAAGATTATATGAGAGAAAAGTTTCAGTGCGCTCAATGGCGCGGAGAGATCGGGGAGAGGCTGCGAGAGAGGAAAGAAAAAACGAAACTTCTGTCGCGGAATTGCTATGGCTGTCCACAGTCCAGGTGGATGTGGTAACGCAATAGAAAACGACGTCGGTGGTTGGTGTCGCCGCCACCGCCGCCGCCATCGCCGCGGTTCACGACGACGACGACAACGACAACGACGACGACGACGACGACGACGACGACGACGGCGGCGGCGGCGGCGACGACTACGACGGCTACGAGAAAGAGGGGATGATTCACCAACGCGTTATTGTAACTGGAGGTGGCTGCCGCAACAGAGAGGGTAGTACAGGGCTGCTGGAGGGGTAAGAGAATACCTGCCTCGTTGGAGAAATGTTTATGTATCGGAAGAAATGAAAAACGCTCGTTCCAGTGACGACGTTCGAGTCCAATGATGAGTTAGTAGATCTGAACTTTTTTTTCTGAACTTTAAAAAAATAAAAAAATAAAAAAATAAAAATAAAATACAACTTACTGCATAAGATCTAAAATAATCGTCTTTTTCTTCTTCATCTGTAAGATTTATCTGACCACTAAATGTTTGTGCCAACGAATCGCTCGGTTTATTTTCAGTTGCCGTAGGAAACTGAAAAAAAAAAAAAAAATAAATAAATAAATTTCGGTGTCTGTATCTAAGCAGGTGATTCAGAGATGAATGGACGTTTCAGACAGATCGTTCCGTAGAAATGCGTGCGAGTTCTTTGAAGGACACTCGATTTAATCCAAGGACCCGTTCAATTGCCTTTTCCGAGGGCTTTCGCTGAAGACGTCGTTGCGGATAGAGAGAGAGAGAGAGAAAGAGAGACGCGACCTGAAAGAGGTCAGAAGGGCCGATGGCTGCGCGCTCAGCAACAAGTTGCAGAGACGTTAATAAACGAGCCCTCCAAGAATCGCGTCTTACGGACGTCCTCAAGTCGTTTTTAGCTGGTCGATCTTTGCGCGCCAAGTGTTCCTTCTCCCTTTATTTTATTACGTACCGCCAATTCGTATGCGTTCCATCATGTTCTCCTTCCTCCCCGTTTTCACTATGTCATATTCCACTATCTCATATGTACTGTATTATGTGCTATTGTACTTCATTCTCATTACGTTACACAGTGCTATATGATTACACAGTGCCATATTGCGTACGCGTCACTACGCGCTCGCGCTGCGCAATATTAATTATTTTTACTCGACGCACGCTTTAAAAGAAAAAAAAAAAACGTGTCAATGCATAAAATGCATCCTATCTTATTTAACTGGAAATGTTAACAGTCTGTACACGCTATCTTATCCGCGCGTTCAAAGATTAGATAAGGAAAAGGCCCCGTGGGTCGTCGGACCGATTTGTTTCGAAAACCTACGCTCGCGATACAAAAATAAAAAGCTAGTACTGGAGTTAATGATAAAATACTTTCAAAGCACAAACTTATTTTCTTTCGTCTCGGCACACGGAAAGAAACTCAAGCAATAAACGACTCTGTGACCAATTACAATGTAATTGTCGTGATCGTTATCTAACAGATTGTGAGAATCCTCGACTGTGATTGGTCGCTTCGTCTACCGCCTGAGGTTTTTTTGTGACATGGACATTAGAAGACAATATGAATTTTTTTTTTTTTTTTTAATAATCAATATAAAATTGCGGACATTAATTATCGACTTTGTATTTCACTCTCTTGAAAATAAAAATTAAAGTTGTATTTAAAAAAAAAAAAAAATAAGAATAAAAAGTTGCACGCGTGAACAGTCACGCTGTGTTTTGTCGAGTGTTTTAAGTTCGTATGCGGCTTAAGGGAAGCGGATTTTAAACATGGCGGTGCAACACGGACAGGCGCAACGTGCCGCGATCAATACCACCTTGCTTAATATCAGTTCTGAAACTCCGTACAGCCGGTACCAAGAGATAGCTGGCCTACGTCAGCGGAACAGAACGAACGTGGCGGCGCGTTACTTCTCTATGTAATTAAGAATATTGAATATTTGCCATTTTGTCGCCTCTTGAGTTAAACGACATTTGAAGTAATTTTCACGCGTGCAGTTTTTTTTTTTTTTTGTTAATTTTACGCGACCATTTGAAAAGTTTTATTAAAAAACCTTTTTAATTAAACGGACGGGAATTTGTTTTAAAAAAATTAAAACCGCTTGTCACGATCATTAGCCGCAGCACGTGCATTTTGTTATATCTAATTTGAGAAGAGATAATGTATAAATTAAATACAAATTTATATGGGTAATTCTCTGTGAACGCGTAAATTTCAACTTTCAGTTTTGATAAAAAATAATTATTATTAACTAACGGATAGCGGTGAATTCTGTTTTTTCATACCATTTTAAGTCACCATTCCTAATATGAATACGTGACTATGCAATATAAAAAACTTATCTATGTTTTTTATGTCAATATACCACGGAGATTACAGTCCACGGAGATTACGTTTTTTGAGAATTACCCATATAATAATAAATAAATAAAATATACAAGAAGAGAGAGAGAAAAAAGTTAATTAAAATATACTCACCCTTGTGGTACCTTTTCCTCGTCCTCTTCCACGTTCCCGATACGCTCCTTCGCCGGTTTGCATGTGATACAAATGCTGAAACGAAAAGAGAACTGTTAAATATGCGAGTGAATTACAATTTATGATTGGTGAGATCGCCATTTATCGCCGCATCGTGTGTTCGGCTATCGTAAAATCAAGGCAACCATATCGTCTCAATTGACCTCGTTAAGTTCAATAGAACCGGTAATAAAAGTATAACTTCTATGGCTAGCGTGTTAGGTTAGATTAGATTCTGGACGGTGTGCAAGTGTTCTAAATTAGTCTGTAAAATAAAAAATTAAAAAAATGAGATAAAAATATCCTACTGTTTCTTTTCTAATAACGCATTATATTTACATTCGGTTTTCAATTATTTATCTGACACGAGATATTGTTATTGCGTGTTTTGTTATTTATACGCGCGACACTTGCGAGATATTTATCACTTTTTCTCTCGCTTCGAAGTTTTATATAGCTTCTTTTCTCACATACATTCTTACATATCTAGTAATGTTATTTGAGATAATAACAGCTCTATGACATAACTTTTTTGTGATTATTAATGCAAATGGAAAAAACGATAAGAGACTTTTTTCCACACGTGCAAAAACGAATAACTCGTAATCTCTTCGCCTAGATACATTCGTGCTCCAAGTGCGAATTTTGAAAATTTCTTTTGCAATTTCTAATATCAATTTTTATGAACTTTAATAATATCACAATAACATAGAAGTCGTTATAGTGCACTACATATAAAGTAAATTTTAAAAATGTTTAATTGTGCTAAATAATATGTTTTATATAATTAAACAATTTAATTGTGATCTTTTTCTTGCGCTTGCACAAAATAGTAAAGAGTTTTGTGTGATAACTTCATTTTTGCAGTATTCAAGTGATAAATATATAAATATATAAATATATTTATATATCTATATGCTACTAATGTGTATTATTTTAAAAAAACATTTATTACATACACATATATATTTTAAAGCAAAGCATAAGTATACTATTTTAAAACACAACACGACAAATTGTCATTGCGCGTCGGTAACATTCCTGTTTTATCTGTGAATTATTTCTAATTTTGTCTATATGAGTTAATTCTATTTACATAAGTTTGTTTATATACAAATCTGCTTAATATAATATTTTTGCAATAATAAAGCTACACACATATAAATATTATTATTTTAATAACAAAGTATTTTATACGCGCTCATTCAGATAAATATGCAGATAACTATATTACCTTCCGGAAGATCGCAATTACCGACACACGGTAAACGAACAAAGAATTTTTAGAAGATTATCGTTTTTACCGACACTACGTGAAAAATTTAAAATATTGGAAAAAACCAAGTGTACTTTTTTTTTTTTTTTTTTAAATAAAGTCTATTTATCACAGTTTTATTATTTATATATATATATATATATGTATATGTATATAATTTATCGCACTAATTGTTTCACCAATGGCTCTTCAGGGGAACATAAGAATTATACGCAATCGTTCAAACATTTCTTTAAAATAAACATGACTTTTTTGTCAAAATAAACAGTTTTTCAACTCGTTCGTAACTAAATCAATAAAACTTGAAAAGATTTTTTTATGTGTGTTTGTGCAAAGGTGTTGAATTGCAACGAAACGACTCGTCGTATCGTGTGCGCCATTCAATTAACTGTTTTTAACGTGATCTTTTTTTCTGTGCAATTGCATGTTTTTTCTTTTTTTTTTTTTTTACCTGTGCAGTTTTTAATCGTTACGCAATTGTGCATTGCTATTTCACCGAGGGTACTGAAAAACGCACGTCTATTAATATCCGACGACTTTTCCGCACTCAAAGGGCCAGTGTAATCTGCCGTGCGTGGTGAGGTCAAGATTGGTGTGCGAGGGCGAAGACGTGGACGAGGGCAAGCGCGAGCACACATTAACGAGTGAATATCGAGGCCCAAAGGCAGGCGGAAAACGTCCCCTTCGCGATACATGCGTGGGCGATTATGGTCTAATTCCCTTGTACGTGCATTCCTAGCAACCTGACTGCTTTACCTACCAACCTACCTGCCTCTTCGTGAGGCAACGAGGAAAAATGCGCTGGCCGCGCTGGTGCACACTCTCGATAAGCACACGCTCGACAGGCAGGGGTGGTGGATGCCCTCACTCACAATTTCATCCCCTCTTTCTCTCGTCAAGAATCCACGTACGTATCTATATTCCCTCTCGCGATTCTTTTCCTCTCTCACCCGTGTGTATATGTGTGTACTTTCTCCCCCGCGAAAGAGGAAAGCGCAGAGAAAGAGAGACGGACAGAGAGAACGAAAGGGAGGCAAGGCAAATGTCAATATCGACGATGCATCGTTGAGAGGGCGGGAATGAGGGCGTAATTAATCGTCCAAGAAATCTCTCTTCCCTCTTTCTCTTCCTCGTCCGATTAATTTGTTAGCATTTTTTTTCCTGTTCTAGGTTTGCGTGAAAAACTGCGCGAATTGCGAAAGTTTGTTTGAAACACAGTTTGAAACGCTGAAATTTGAAATAAAATTAAATAACGCGAGCCACAAAAGTTCTCGAACGCTGATATTCACAGAAATATCAATCGAGCGCAAATCGCACGAATTTTTAGAATTCAAATTGGAATTTGATTCAAAAATTTATCTAACCGGATGTTCGCGTCAATCAATTGGGTTTTAACGTTTGGGTTAAAAATTCGAATCAATGTCGTTCTCTCGGTCTTTTCGTACACAAATTTCCAAGGAGCGCAGCTCGAATGTTTGGTGTATAGCTCGCAGTGTATAAACAGCCCTTAAAGTAACTTATAAGTTACGTTGCAACGACAGCAAGAAGGCAGCCTGGTAGCAGCCGGTGCTTGTATTTATTTAAGCTTCGACTACACCGCCAGAGAAAGTGTTATAACGCAAAGATTCGTTCCGGTGTCGGCACATCTGCCACTCCGCGCGCGTTTTCAAAAAGAAACGCAACAAAAAAAAAACCACGTTGCGGCAATTTAATGTAAACAGTAAACGAGAGAGAGAGAGAGAGAGAGAGAGAGAGAGAGAGAGAGAAAACAATACACTTGAGAAATTTACGCGAGTCTTGATTTTTCTCAGCTCGCAGAAAGTTGGGCGCATTTATTATCGAGAAAAAAAAAGAGAAACAATAGTGTGTGTCACTTATATCGTTTTCTTCTTATCGGGAACTGACATCTGCCGACGCCGAAGAAATGTGTTTACGAAATATTTTAATTACCTTATCGTCAAATCGAACGCCGCGCTCTCCGACAGCTGTCGGTCGTACGCGTGCTTCTAATTGCTGAGCTAGATGGTACACCCTATAGCACACACAGGTTCCTTTTTACGCGACGTATTGCCCGATCGAAAATGTCACGCACTCGCGCGCAAAAGTTGATTCACGCGACGATCGAAAATTACTGGAAGTCTTATAAGGATTAATGCCCTTCGTGTTTTCGTTTACAGCGCGATTAAATATAGCATCGATTATATCGCGTGCTGTATATCGTGAAACGGTATACATAAGGTATACGTGAGGCGATTGATAAGTATCCACAAAACGATGCGTAAATAATAACGACATTCGCGTCATGTTTTTAAGTTGATAAGTTCCATTGTTTGAAAAAAAAAAAAACAAATGTTAAACGCTCAAAGAAAAAAGTAGTTAAAATAGCAAGAAATTACTAAGAAATTATTAAGTAGTAGTTACTATATCGTCACTCCCTACGTATAATTACATAAGTGTCACATATGGGATTTTCAGTTTATTGCATAGTGACACTTAGAAAGTCATGTTCTTTGTGGTCACCAAGTATTTAAAAAAAATATTCATAAGTAAGGTAAAAATTTAAAACCGAAAGATCCCTTAACTAAAGAAACTATATGAAGCTTGAAAAACTGCTCTCCTCTAAAATTTGCGTTTTGGAGTCACGGGATTATACGTAGGGATTGACGATATGGTCGGCAAGAAAAATGTGTTAAGCCTATTGAAATGTTTTGTCAATAAACGAGATTGTTGCGCCAACAGAAACCGTCAGTAGACATTTTTCTTGCCGGCCGTTGAATAGCATAATGTTCCCATGCTGGCTCATTATTGCGCGTGGTGTTCGTGTGACAAAAAGTGTCGCCATTTTCGACATTGATGACTTTGATTGTTGTTTAAGAATTTTCTTTCATCGAGCTATTTTTTCGAAAACAATGAAAAAAAAAAATAGAAATCACAAAACTGGAGATTAGAATCGACAGGGCAGCAATTCAAAGCTCACAGGAAAAAACACTTTTTTATACGGTAGACAAGAAAAATGTACTAAACCCATTGAGACTTTTGTTATAAAAACCTTAATAGACCTGACCTGGCAGCAACTCCGAAGCTTTCGGTTTGATAGTTGCAACAAAGCTTGAACTATGAGCTCGTGCATTGTGAAAAATCAATTCAAAAGTCAAAACCACATAAATATCTCGTTATCTATTGTTGTTTTTCAACACATTTACAAGCTAAACATTCAAACAGTAGCTTTAAAAGAAGCAAAAAAAAACCTACATCTATTTTTCTAGACATTTTATTTTCTTTGACCTTTTTGGTCGCAATGTCGTCATTGAAAAGCTATTGAGATACATCTTTTCAAAATTATATTTAAAAAGAACAAATGGAAGAAGAATCCCATCGAGAATCCCAAAAACACACTGTGCACTAATATGATTTTCTTTACATTCTTCACAAAAAATGTCTCGACATTTCGAGAAATCTCATTTTCTCTCGATTACATATATCAATCGCGTGCGTATCGCAACAATGAAATGGTTAACAAACGAGGGTCGCGCATTTGCGTAACAGCGAAACTCGCGAACAATTTCGCAAAACTCACTTCACTCTTGCAAGCGCGCATGAAGAAAATGTCGCGACACGATTCTTTTGTCGCGCACACGCATTAAAAAGGATTGCGTTTAGCAATTGCGAGCGATTTATTTCCAAGATCGGGGAATGGGTTATTAGAGTTTCTAACGCAGTTGGAAGAGAGTCCGTCGATGTTAGAAACATCGCTGGTTTT